CTATCTATCTATCTATCTATAATCTGACTATCTATCTATCTATCTATCTATATTGACAAAAATATTGTATGAGCCAAAAACTCATTACTAAACACCAATGACTTGTACATATGCGTACAATCATTTTAGACACTTACAAAAAAAAGGCACTTCCATGTGTGTGGCATCAAAGATGGAAACATAATTCATGTATTTAAAAATTGTATTTCTATCTTTGTTGCCACAGTTTTGGAAGTGTCTAAAATGATTGTACACATATGTACAAGTCATTGGTGTTTGGCGATGAGTTTTTTTTTGTTTGTTTTTTTAAGTTTTCCCAATACTTTGGGCAGTATGTTTGGTGCGGTAGGGGGCCCAACCTCATATTCTTTCATAGGGCCCAAAATTGCTAGAGGTGCCCCTGATTCCCGCTTCAGTCAAAGTTCAGTTCAGTCCACAGCATTCGTGCCAAAATGTTAAGAAAAAAAGTCAACTCGTCCCAATAATGGCAAAAAAATAAAATAAATAAATAAAAATTGAGGATTTAAAAGCAGAAAATGTGAAGCGTATAGACATGTGGGGGCGTGTTAGAACGAGCCGTTTTAGGAGGGCGTGGACAAGTCTTAACTTTTATAAAGAATATCTTTTTGGATTTGAGACTTTAGTCTTTGCAACTTTAGGGATCTTATCTATGCACGAACAGCTTGTAACACTCCAAAGAGAAAGGAAAAATTTGAAATTGCATCATATTACCCCTTTAAAAAATAAAGTTCAGCCCACAGCATTTGCATTGTGCCGTAATACTAACAAAGAAATACAAACCAAAAGTGAGTTAAATCTGATAAAACCTCCATTTAAATGCCCAGGTGTGTTTTCAAATGTGAAAATGATACGTGACCCTCTCTGTGAAATCCAGTCTCAAAATCTAATTATGAGATAACAAGCATCAAAGTTTGATTTCAACCATTAATTTCACTATGATTTCAATCTTTGTCATGGTCTACTCAGTCAATATAAAAGATATCAATGTTACATTTTCACAGAATGCCATTTACCTTATGAAGGATGATTTTATGTAGAAAGCAGTAAATCACCAAAAAATGACTTTAGCTGGGTTTTCAGGGTCACATATAGACGTATATGACGAGAATGTAGGCCTACATATGAAGTAAACAATGTTTTTGTGTTGTTTGATGTGTGTTTTTGTGTCAGGGAGGAGAGATTGGTATTAACATCAACTGGAAGTGTAATCTGGACTATAATGTAACATACTGCAATCCCAATTACTTCTTCACACGCTTAGATGCTGCTTTTAAGAACAGCGTTGCCGCTAAAGGATATAACTTCAGGTAGCACACAAACACACATACTCATGCATCTTTCTGTCTTTTCTGCAACTGCATCATCTTTTTGTCTCTTCCAGGTTTGCTAAATACTATCAGTCTGAAGATGGAACTGAGTGTCGAACGCTTCATAAAGCTAAAGCAATCCGCTTCGAAATAATCGTGTCTGGCAATGTGGGTAGATTGTATAGACCTCAATGCTATAAAGCAGTTTATGTGACATGGACTTGTGCGTGTCTAACTTTGCTTATTTGCAGGCAGGGAAGTTTAACACTGTGCCGTTTCTGATTAATTTGGTGACAGCTTTAACTTCAGTGGGATTGGTAAGACAATTGTGACACACAGTAATGCTGGCAAAAACATATTAGGCACGTGGGTAGATTGTATAGACCTCAATGCTATAAAGCAGTTTATGTGACATGGACTTGTGCGTGTCTAACTTTGCTTATTTGCAGGCAGGGAAGTTTAACACTGTGCCGTTTCTGATTAATTTGGTGACAGCTTTAACTTCAGTGGGATTGGTAAGACAATTGTGACACACATTAATGCTGGCAAAAACATGTTGGCATATAATATCTGACTGGTGTATATTTTTGCAGGCTACTGTGTTCTGTGACATCATCCTTCTCAACTTTCATAAAGGGGCGGATGAGTACAAAGCAAAGAAATTTGAAGAGGTGCCAGAGTTGAGTTTAGTCATGTAAGTATGTAGAGATAAAATAGAGCAATGTCTTATCTTTCTGTCCTCCTCATGAACAGGTATCAGGTGTTGTGTCCGAGTCAGCAAACAACAGACTATATGAGGGAAGCCAGATGTCAATCAAAGCATTGGAGAAGAGCTCAAATGACTCGGGGACCTTTTCTATCGGACGACAGGAGTCACACAGCCCGCCAAACCAATGAGACTTTCAAATAATAAGGATTTGTGATTTTATGCAACAGTATACAGTAACAGTCAAGTAACAGTATACAAATCATCGTTTGTTTTAAGTCTGTGAACCTTTAGGGCTTGGTTTGATAAAACAAATTTAAATAAAGGCTTTCTTCAGTCAACCACAAACCCTGAGAAAACACACATCTATACATATACACTACCAGTCAAAAGTCTGTACACACCTGATCGTTATTATTATTTTAGAATTAACACAACTTTGAAATAACACAAATGTAAGTACGATAGTTACGTAGTAATATTAAATATCATATTTCTTATCTCATATTTGAGCTTAAAAAGTATTAAAGGAGTTTCCATATATGCTGGGCACTGCTTTACATCTGGTCTATATATCTCATTTTCTCAAGAAATTCACAAATGATCACATTTTACTGTATATTTCTATGCAAAATTGTAATTGAAGCTTCCTTAGATAAAAAGTAAGAGTTTAAGTCAAACCTTTGACTGAATGGTGAATATATATAAAGAGTAATTAAGCAGCAGTACATTAAATTTACAAAGAACAGGAATTAATTCATTACGCAATAGATCATTGTTGAGCATGTAAAATGAACGAAGAAAGAAAATGATGATGTGAGTATATACACTATTCCTTTCAGAAGCTAAAAGTATACATGGATATTTTGTGTGTTTAATGTGAATTATTTGTCTAAACCATCTTGATTTTCATACTGTTGACTTTATTTATTGAACTATGACCTTGAGATTGTACGTTTTGTTACCTTAGAAAATAAATTGCACAACATCTTTGCACATTAAGTTAAATATTTCTATTGTTATTCTTATTACATTTTACTTTATTTTATTTAAAAATAAATTCACTTAATGTAATGGCATATCAAATCGATGCTGGCATATCACAGTCTCATTAAAATGATTTTTTTCAGAATGTAATAATGATAATTGTCGATTATTTGTGCTGCGTCGCTCTTGCCTCAGAAATCTCAGTTTATGCAAGCTGCAAAATTTCAAAGGTGGAGTCAGATGTGAAGAGATTTAAAATTTGTACTTTCCACTTTTGGGTTTTAAAGACACAATCCACTTAGGGAAAGAATGACGGGGAGAAGGTTCTTCCTGCCAATCATTATCATTTTCTTCTTCTTCATCTTCATCATCATCATCAGACTCTGGCAAGTAGGTGGGCGGTAAGATGATAACCTCCTCAGAGAACCGAACGCGTCGAGTGTCTTCCATCCTCCTCTGGGAGAAGAAGAGAAATAATGACAGGATGTATTGTAAATGTGGACACTAATGTGATTGCAATTAATTCACAAATTATAGAACGTGCTTACAATAGATTCATCAACTGAAAATAACTGCCTAGTGAAATGGCCAGCTTTAGCAGGCTAACACAACTAAAAGCCATAGTTGAACCATAAATCAAGATTCTGTCATCATTGTCTCACCCTCATGCCAAACTGTATGACTTTTATTGTGAAAAACAAAGGTGAATTTCTCAAGAATATATTCTCTCAGCCACTCTTTTCAAGGCTGTCAAGCTCCAAAATAACAAATAAATGGCTGCATTTATTTGATCAAAAATATAGTGAAATATTATTACAATTTAAAATAACTTTTCTATTTTATTACATTTCAAAATGTAATTTATTCCTGTGATGTAAAGCTGAATTGTCAGCATCATTGTCTTCAGTGTCACATGATCCTTCAGAAATCATTCTAATATGCTGATTTCCTGCTCAAGAAACATTTCTTATTATCATCAATGTTGAAAACAGCAGTTAATAATTTTGTGGAAACCGTAATACATTTTCAGCATTGACAATGTATAATATAAAGTTCAACAGAACAGTATTTATTTGAAAGAAATTTTTTGTAATATTGTAAATATCTTTACTGTGTCACTTTTGATCAATTTAATGCATCCTTGCAGAATAAAAGTATTAATTTCTTTCAAAACAAAAAAAAAAAGAATTCTTACTGACCCCAAACCTTTGAACGGTAGTGTATAAGCTTACTGAAATTTATAAGGATTGTCCTCATATCAGTGTTAGTTTCTAGTTTCTCCGAAAATGAATTTTTGTAGTGACGCACATCGTAGTAGTCTTGTTAAAAAACAAGCTGAAAATTCAGCACCACCCAACAATTAATTAATCAACAATGGCACTAATACCACAACTATCACACGCGTCTCTGTAGTCTGTAGTAACAAACTCCCTTTATGTTCAAACCCAACACTTTAACCAATAAGTTCTAAATCATTCTTCTGTGGTGTGAATCAAAGTTACTGATCATAATATTTATAAAAGCCAGCTGATATCAGTCAAAACTGGCTTATCTGAATGCATATAGCTTCTGACATATCCTACCTTTTTGACCGCAGTCTCCAAAGTTTCAGAGGACTCTGAGTCTTGAGAGATTGAGTTCAGTGAGTTGAGGGGAGACGCGGGTGAAGGGCTGCGGACAGAGTTTGAAGATAGCTGTGCAGCTGTGAAAGAGTCGCCGTTCTCCTCGTCCTCCATCTCTTGTGTTGTGTGTTCAAACGATTCCCGGCTTTTTGTCCAGTGCTCTCTTTTTCGGCTCAGAGATCCATGGGATGTTACAGATGATCTTTTTATTGACTAAGAGAAAAGGAGGAAAGGAAATAAGAAAGAACATTTTAAATACTAATAACACATTGCTTCTGCTTATAATGCGTATACTCTCACCTTAGCATATGAAAGGTCAAGGAGGGGTATAAAATCCTCTGTCCCATCTTGTGGCAGGTTATGGCTGGGGTCGGACACTTGACTAGACGTCGGCTGTGGATCGCTATGCTCAGTTGCCTTTGATTCATTTGGACCAAGCTGGGAAAAATGTGACTGTCCATTTGATTGCTCATTGGGGTTCAGATTGGTGTTTTGTGACTGGTTTGTAAACGGGTCAGTTTGTAATGGATTTGTGGGGAGATCAGTAACACTCATTTGAGACGTCTCGGTTTGTTTATCGGAGGCCATGTCTTGTTCAAAGCTCTCTGGAAGCGAAAGCTGAGTCGAATCTAAATGGGAATCGGTTGTGTCGTCATGAGTCCATTTACTTTGCAATTCTTCTTCACGTGATTGGTTATTAGTATTTGGTAACTCTTTCGATTGGTGCATTTGGGTGCTGTTAACTGAGAGAAACTGAGCCCACTCCGTCCCGCTGAAGATCTCCTCCATTAAATTAGAAGTAGTGCCACATGAGAACTGACTGTCACTGACAAGAAGGATGAAAGATCACGTAAACAGAAAGCCAAAAACAGCCAATGAAAACAACTTCAACCAGGATGTGGCTTTAATAGTTACAATAGATAATTTTACTGTTTTAGCCCTAAGGGGTCACACATTCTTTCTCTATGAGACCGTTTCACATGAAATAGAAAGTGATTAATGGATCACACATGTGGAATGATAACTATGTCTGATGCATATTTCTAATGTCACTGGCTGATGTGTTTACCTCATGTAGCTGAGTGAACCAGGGCCATCTTCGTCCAGCGCTCTGCTGATCTCTTCATGATGGATATCGGTAGTCTCAGAGAGTGCTGTAGGAGTTTCATTCACATCGATGGGCACCAATAACGAAGAGCGATTACTCTGAATATAAACATAAAAGACATTTCACTTGTAATAATTCTAGATTTTGCCTATGTTTGCCCATAAAAAGTCAGCCATGATGCTGAATAGTTTGGGTGATTGAATGCTGGCACACTGCTTTAAGGTTGCTAAGGATGTTTTTAGCACATTAGGTGCATTCTATTCAAATGTAAGTGGACTTAACAGAGTATGCACCATGTGAAGTGAGATTCCAGTCTCAAGGGAGCAAGCATGTTCAGGTTAAACGGCACTGCAAATGGCATAGGGAATAAGGGTATATTGATACATCATGTCACAGGAAGAAGGAAATTTACCCACCAGTCATTGATAATCAGTCCAGTACATAAAGAAGTTTGAAGTTTAAAACAAAGGCACTTAGTCTCTGGCATTATTATGGAGTTTAATTAGTCTCAGGTGGGATTTGCCAGTGGCTCTATGAAGTGTGCGAGATGTGACCGTTAAAATGCTAATATCATGATTAAAGTTAAATAAAAGACATCTAATAAAACACACATTTATTTTTATATTAAACACTGCAACCAACATTTATCACCCATTTTACAGCTTTTAAATATATTAATTATACTGATTAAATTTATAATGATTATATTTTTCCAAAGATACTCATGGATGTATTATATAAATAAGTATATTACACGACCGTAAGGTAATTTACTTTATATTTATTTACATAAGTATATTATGACATCTAACCATTAACTCCTCTCATATGCGTGACTTAAATGCTGTCTGTGTGCAATGATGTTGCAGTGTATTCGCATTTTGTCAAATTAAGCGAACTTGAACTGATATCTCATGCTCAGGGAATAGGGAGTAGTGTGCACTGTGTAGGGACCCTGTCAAATCGGGGCACAACTATTGTTATGCATTTGCCAAGGCATTGCTAGATGGTGCTAACTAATTTTTATAATTTTCACAACAGTGAAAGGCGGTTCTATGGGATCATTTCATCGTGCAATAGCCTACACAATACAGTTTAATTTCAAACTGTCTTTGGCTGTATTAAAACAAACACAAATACTCACTTGTACTTCATTCTGCGCTTGTCTTTCTCCATCATCTCTTTGTCTGGTCAGTGTGCTTCTGTGTCTCTCTCTCCATCTCTCTTTCACATTCTGAGCCCACCTTTTAGCCTCCCCCCACTTCCTCTTACTTGTCTTTGTCGTTTTTCCCGATTGCTCATGAAATCTGGTGCTTTCATTTCTCTCAATTCCAGCACCCCAACTCCACGTGCCACTTTGACCTCTGACCTCTGGTTTTTCCAACACTGTAGATGATGTTGTTAGCGTTGGAGCTAAAAGATCAGGAGGGTTTTGGAGGGATTCTGTTTTGTATAAAGATGGCACATTTGAGCTGGTTTCCCCGTCCAGAGAAAACTGTTGCTTCTTCTCCGGCTCGGGCATCTGATCGTCTCCGACCCAGGAAGTGACATCACCAGTCCTCTCTGATGTAAAGTTCTTGTGTTCCCCCCAAATCAATAGTGAACGTTTAGGTTTACCAGAGAATCCTGAGTTGTTTTTACTGATCCTTCTGACCGGTTGTTTAGCAACAGGAGTCAATGCATCCTCAAAATGAGATGATTGTTGAGTCCAAGGATTCTCCCACTTATTCCAGACAGAGGTGCATCCATCTGGCTCTTTAATGTTGGAACAAAACCCAAACTGATAAACTGTTGTTTTAGATGAATCTTCCACTGGTCCAGCATTACATTCTCCAGACGGACTGCATGTTTGCATATCAGTGACTGAGCTACCGTTGGTCTGAGCATTCAGTCGTAATTTCTGAAGCATAGATTCCAGTATTGCATGAGTGTCTGAGACAGGGTTCAGCTCCGCCATTGGACTCTATGGTACCACATGCGCACACATGAGTAGAGACAACTCACAGATATTGGGTATGTGTACGCATACAAGCAGACTCGCTCTAGACGCTCAACTTTCTCCCATGATAGTTACTGGTAAAGCTGTACAGTTCCACAGATCCTTCATTTATATAATCATGTTAGTCCACACAAGTATTTATGTCCATCAGTCATTCAGATCCTCTAGTTTTCCATCCGAGCTCTCAAAACTGATCTTTTCCTGATTTCTGAATGTTGCAGAAGGAAGGAGTGTCATAAAGAATAGTGCAAAAGCCAGAAAAAGGTGTGTCCAACACCCAGATGGACAGGTAAGACAAGTGTGTCAGGATGAATCATTTTGTATTTTTGTCACTCCCTCTGACCCGCCGCTGAATGGCTGAGGCACTGCGTCTTCAAAAATCCTGAGAACATGTTGAAGTCTTAATATGAAGTCACTGCTTTTTGAGAAAGTGGAGTCATTACATTTAATTGGTCACCCATTTTCTCTTAAGCAGCCAACAAACTGCAATTCTCTAATGTGAAATAACTTGTTTTATTATATCACTAATTGTAGTAATTATGGTATTTACAGAGGTGTAAAGTATTGGAGTAAATGTAATTAGTTACTCTACTTGAGTATCTTTTTGGACACTTTGTAGTTGTACGGAAAATATTTAGCAACTTTTACTCTCTACTTCACTACATTTTTGAATGAGTATCTGTACTCTTTACTCCACTACATTTGAAATGAGTGTTGCATTATATATATATATATACATATATATATATTTATTACATTTTATATTATCACACATGGATTGGCATTGTCTATAACGTCTAAATTCTAAATCAAAATACATATCTGATGTGACTTAATATATAATTAGCATCAAACAAACAAGCAAGGTTTTGGGTTAATCAACCGAAAGTTCAGGGTTTAGCTGCCGGTAAATTAACCGTGCTTTCTGGAATACACCCCTGTTGCTCATATTTAACCTCTTTCCTTGCGCATTTTATGCTGTTCATTTCATATACGTAACCTTTTGTATATGGGCGCTTTGTTATGACGCAACCGCTGTCTATCTGATCCCTCGCGCAGTGATTGGCTAGAGCAGAAAATACGCGCCACATGTCGGATTCGAAGTAAACAGTGGCGCACTCCTGCCAAATTAAATTCTTGAATTATCCGCTTATAATAATAAGTTTTGTGTTTTTTGAATGATGTACCTTATGTTATGCGATAACAGATAACCGCTCTTAACTTTTCTTTACGATCAATTTCCTGCGTTATATTGGCCACTGGCGTTATGTGGCCGGTTCCGTGATTCGTTATAAAAATCTACTCGAGCCGGTGAATACTTTATGCAAACTTTGTTTAGAAAGAATATTGTTGACAAGCAAAATATAATGGATTGTGTTGCAACCGGAGGAAACGTGAAAGGTAATAACTAAAGTAACTCGTGTGTCGTTTTCAAAGATTCGTTAAATAAACTTAAAACGCAACGCTAGTGGTGTGACGTAACATAGACGCTTTCTGTATAAACAGGCTTCTCGTGCACTTACATAATATTACTTATGAATAGAAGAATACTGATCCACACTTGTTGTAGTTTTAGCAAAAGCCATACATTCCCTGTCAAGAATCGGAGAGGAGCTGTATTTGGAGCCCATGGAGGATGGGGTATGTGTTTGTTTACAGTGTTTATGACTGTTTATGTTTGTTTAGCCAGATGTGAGGTCTTAAAACAATGTCAGCTCCTAAACTGTGAGGTCATGTGACTTGTGTGTGTCCTGTGTTTTTTACGGCGGTAAAGTTAGTTTGACGTTTGACATTCATTAGACATTCGGGTTTTTTGCCAATTAAACTCTTTGCAGCTTTTATGTTTTGAGCCCAAACTTTAGAACAGAAAAAGGCACTTCCAAAACTGTGGCAACAAAGATAAAAACATAATTCATGTATTTAAAAATTGTATTTCCGTCTCTGTTGCAACAGTTTTGGAAGTGTCTAAAATGACTACCCATTTGTACAAGTCATTTGTGTTTAGTGATGAGTTTTGGCTCAAGGTCTGAATTTAAAGTCACACCAGAGGTGTTCATCTGGGATTAGGACTTTGCTTTTCTGCAGACCAGTCCAGTTCTTCCACACTGACTCAATCAATCGTTTCTTTTTGAACCTTGCCTTACACACAGACGCATTGTCATGTTAGAATAGAAAAGGGTCCTGTCCAAATGCTTGCTATAAAATTCCCTAGAATATCATTATATGCTTAAACATTAAGATTTGTACTCATCGAAATTACTAAAGTAGTCAAACCTGTTCATTAGAAGGGGGTGTCCCAATACTTTTGTCCATATAGTGTATGAAGTTAGATATGCATGTATTAAACTTTACCTGCATACATGCAGTATACTCACATAAAGCGAGAAAATCTCAAATGCTTGATTGTTTATATTGTCACAAAATGTAACTATATTATTGCCCAGCTCTAATCTATGAGACTATGAGGAATGAACATATTAAGATATAAACAGTTATACTATAGTATAAATATTAACAAACATGATTTTTTTGTAAAGCTGCTTTAAAGTGAGTATTACTTGGTTAACTTTTGTTATGGCATAGTAATCAGTCAGTAATACATTTTTTTTTCAAAATAAACTTGTCAAATATTACATAGAAATGGCATATTTTACAGAATGATCACCTAAAGTGTGTGTGTTTATTACAGGGCTCTTGAAAACACACAATTTGTCCTATCAGGACTGTGAGAGTTTGCAGGCCGTGTTTGATAAAGAGAGCTGTGCAAACGTGCTACAGGCTCAACCCAGGTTTACATTAATTTTAATACCTCAATATTACAGTAGTCAACATTTGAAGTGGATCAAAAAAAAAAAGTTAATCAAAGTTGTCCTAAGGCAAGAACGCTTTTGGGTTTTAGGTTTTGATCCACTTCAAATGTTGACTAGTGTAATATTGATCCATTTGCATTTCCATTCAGAGTCTGTTTAATCATTTTCTGTCGTCCACTGTAGGTTGATGGTGGACACAGTTCTGCATTTCCCTCCGTCTCTGGAGGAGGTGAATCTGTCGGTGAGCAGTAATCGCGTGTGGCTCAGGAACCACGTGGAGGATGATGCAGGTATCAGCCATGTCAGACTATATTCTGCTGATATGCATGAAAGGAATCAAGTCAAACAAAGTTTTTCCTCTCTCAGACTCATCACGAGCAATGATGACTGAACTGTGTTTGAGCTCGGAGGAGTTTGATCATTTTGCCGTTGGCAGTCAGACCAGCGTCACCTTCTGCCTCAAAGAGCTCAGGGTGAGTGTGTTCTCACACAAACACAAACATTCACATATTCAATCCCCAAAGGCTGCTGTGAAGACAACACATCTAGCACAGTGTCACAATTTTCTGAGTGAAACGATATTTAAGGCCCCAATATCCACCTTATTTTTCCGGTTTTATCCGTTTCCAGTTATCTGTACAAAACAGCTTGCTATGCTGCTTGATATTGCAAACTGTGCTCATATATATATATATATATATATATATAGATATGTGTGTATAAATATAAATGTGTGTAAATAAATAGATTTTTTGTTGTTGTTTTTAAATAACATGATTAATTGTGCACAAGAAGATAAGGGACAAAAACATAAATGGGGTCAAATTTAATTTAATTTAATTTTTGACTTTTGTGTTTTTCTTGAAGTAAATCCAAAGTCAAAAATGGATCTTAAACAAAAAAATAAAGCTGTTTTATTTATGAATATATTTTAACCTTGATTTTGCTATTAAAATAGCTATAGAATGCTTTAGCATTAAAACAAACAATTTTTTTTATCTCTCTGGTTTTCCATCAGGGTTTGCTTGTATTTGCTGAGTCGTCTGGTCTTCCAGTTTCTATGTATTTTGATGAGCCAGGCAGGTTAGTTTCTATTTGCTTATTATGACCTATAGCCCAAGTTCACCTTTTTATTCACTTTATTTTAAAATATTTAAAATTGATATGCATGCTACCAATCAAAAGCTCGGATATGTAAATTGTTTAAATATTTTTTTTAAATATGACTCACCAAGGCTGCTTTTATTTAATCAAAAATACAGGAGAAACAGTAATATTGTTAAATATTATTACAATTTAAAATAACTCATTACTATTTGAATATATTGTAAAATGTAATTTATTCCTGTGATGCAAAACTGAATTTTCAGTATCATTACTCCAGTCTTCAGTGCCACATGATCCTTCAGAAATCCTTCTAATATGCTGATTTGCTGCTTGAGAAATATTTTTTATTATTATCCATGTTGAACTCAATCGTGCTGCTTAATAATATGCTTTAGGATTCTTTAATAAATAGAAATTTGAAAAGAACTGCATTTATTTAAAATCTTTTGTAACATTATCTTTACCGTCACTTTTGATCAATTTAATTCGTCCTTTCTAAATAGAAATATGTTTATTATTAAAAACAAAACTTACTCCAAACTTTTTAAATATCAGCGTATTTGTGTATTCTCACCTGTGTGTGTTTGTGGTTGTGTTTAAGTCCAGTTATCCTGAGTGTAACAGACAGTGTTCTGGAGGCTAATTTTGTCCTTGCTACACTGTCAGAGGACTCGCATCCAAAGAACCACGTCAACTCCAAACAGTAAGTAAAATCATAAAATATTGACCATAATCTTAAAAGCTTTATAAAGAGTTATATTTGGTACTTAAATACTTATTCCTCTCAGCCCTGACACAGAACAGCCACCAGACGACTTCATGAGCGACGACATGGACTCGTTTCTCATCGATATGGAGACCAGCGAACTTCCTGTACTGTCACATGTCCCCACATCCCCGCCACGACCCACCAATAATAACAGAAAGCACTCCTTCAGTGAAGAGGAGGAGGAGGAGGAAGCACTTGCAGAAGGACCTCCCAACAAAAAGGTACAATCATCATTTAAATGAATCATTTAAAAATATAACACCTAATTCCCAGATCCCACTATTATTCAGTCCCTGCTTTCTTGTCTTTCAGTTTTGTTCACTTTTCTTCGGTTCAGTTCTGCCCACTCCTTCTCAGTTGCCCAATCAGACCATGCAGAGCCAGGAAGTGCTGGCAAGTGACAGTGAAGATGAAAATCAGACAGAAACATCATAACCGCCCATCGATTGAACGATGTGGAAAAAACACTCCCACATCCAACCTCACAAAGACTGCTGAATGCATTTACACACAAATGTCTCCTCCTGATTTTATTTTTCTATGAAAATAATTATGGTTTTAAACCAAGAGATGAAGCAGTGAATATAACAAACCACATCAAATCATTGCACAAGTCACATTAAAACATCTCACTCCCACTGCGGAATACAAATATGTGATTAAGTCTCTGATTATTTAAAAATATCCGTCAGAAAAAGGAGCAGAGTTTCTCCTGGCGTGAGACGTCTGAGAGTCACTGTTCCCGGGGGTCACGGCATTATTAGCACCCTTCCTGCTGAGCACCTGGAAGCTCTTTCCTCTTGTCTGAGGCTTCTTCCTTTCTTTTGCTTTGTCCTTTTCCATTTCCTTCTCTCGTTTCTTTCTGTCTTTCTCTTCTCTTTCTTTTCGCTCTTTCTCTCTCTTCCGCCTCCTCCTTTCTTTTGCCGTCAGCCTCTCCTCTTTCTCGCTAAAGTCCTGGATGAGGATTTTGGGGACGGGGGTTTTATTGGTCTCCCCTCGGAGACGGCGAAACAGACCCAGACGTTTTGGAGGGCCTGACTTTGTTGGTGAGTTGGGCTGAGCCTCTGTGTCTTGTGTCGGTGAGGGTGTTGTCTGTTCTGAATGTGTGTGTTCTTGCTGCTGTGGCTCTTTGAAGGTGTCCTCGGAGAGGATTGTGGGATAGGAAACCCGCGAGCTGCGGAGGTGAGCTGGTGGGACATTTGGGTTTGGGGATTTTGAAGTTGAAATTGAAGAGGGGGACTCTAACCCCTGGCTGTTTCCTGGTATTGCACATTCATTGTTATGAGGGTTGCCAGATTCAGCAGCACAATCCTCGGTTTTACACTCAGGGTTGCCTGATCCAGCGCTTACATGCTCTTTGCTGGTCTCTGAGTTTTCAGATCTGGTTGTGATATGATCTTCTTTGTAATCTGGATTGCCAGATCCAACTGCAGAATCCACGATATTGTTCTCAGGGTTGCCAGATTCACTTGTAGACGGCACATCATTGCATTCTGGGTTGTCAGATCCAGTGGTCACATGCTCTCTATTGGTCTCTGAGTTGTCAGATTCAGTTGTGACATGTACTTTGTGATCTGGGTTGCCAGATCCAATAGCAGAATCCACCATATTGTTCTCTGTGTTGCCAGATCCAGTTGTAACTTGTACATCGTTACATTGTGGGTTTTCAACAGGAGAACCAATTATATTGTTCTTTGAATTGTCAGATCCAACAGCAACATCCATGCCATCGCTTTCTGTTTTTTCAGTTTCAGTGGTAACATCTGTTATGTTGCATTCAAGGTTGCCAGATTCAGTTGTAACATGCACATCATTGTTTTCAAGGTTGCCATCCACGTCACTCTGCTCTGGGTTTCCAGATTCACTTGTAACAGGGACACTGTTGCTCTCTGGGTTGCCAGATCCAGCAGCAATTTCCAGACTATTGCTTTCTAGTTTGCCAGAATCAGCAGTAATATCTGTTGTGTTGCATTCAAGGTTTTCTGATCCAGGAGCAGCATGCATTTCAATGCTTTCTGCATGGACAGATCTACAAGTATCATCCTCTACATTGTTTGTGAGGTTGCTTGATTCGTCAGTATTGATTTCACAACATACTATGTTTTCAGATTTATTTACTTCACTGATTTCTTTATCACATGTGCCAACAGAGTGTGTAGATGCTGCACCCTCTTCCTGAGGTTCAAGGATGTTGGTGTCATCAGCAGAATCCACTTCACTCTGCTCTGGGTTGCCAGATCCTTCTGCATCTTCCACAGTGGAATCTATTGGACAAGGCTCCAACTCTCTGGAAGTAACAGTAGTATCCACGTCACTGTGCTCTTGGTCGCTTGATTGGGATTGCTGTTCGGGATCAGTTGGTCCATCCGGATGCTCAGTTTCAATTTCTCGTTCAGTTTTTAAAGAGAATGATGTTAGCACTATTTCAGGTGGTTGCAATGTCTCTTTACCACTATGAGAGGGACTATCGCTCTCGTCTAAGCTTGTATCTTGTCTCTCATCATCTTTCTCCTCACACATGTTTGAAGGGTCTGATATCTCTGTGGTCTCCTCAGGGAGAAGATCAAACTCTTGCTGAATCCCTTCCTCCTTGTCTGCATCAGTATGGTTTTCACCAATAAGCCGAGTCTCCTCATCTTCCTCTATAGCTGTGTTAATGAACAAATCTTCTTTCTGCCTTTCTGAATGTTCTTGTTCTTCATGTTGATCACCAGATGTTTGAGACCTCTCTTCCTCCTGAACAACATGTATCTGTACCTCTTTCTCTGGGATATTTTCCTCATTTTCTAAAGTCATTATGGTGTTTGGCAACCTATCTTCTGTTTCTTCTTCTTGTTTGCAGTGTTCTGTTTGTATGTCTTCTTCCTGTGATGTACTTTCTTCACATGGCTCTAAAATTCTCTCAGTCTCCACAGTCTGTTCATCTTGACACGTCTGTTTGTCTGTATTCTGTTCATTTTGATTTGTTGGTGCTTCTGTGTTCTGATCATCTTGATTTTTGTCTTTTTCTATATTCTGTTCATCCTGATGTCCTTGCGTTTCTGTACTCTGTGCATCTTGATTTGTGTCCTGTATATGGTGATGTGTCTGTATGCTCTCCTCAACCACACAACCAGCGGTCCTTTCTTTCTCATCACCTCGTGTTGTTTCTAAATGATCCTTCTCTTGGTTCAAAGAGGTTTCTGTATGTTCTTTCTCAAAAACATCGCAGTCAATGCTGGAGGACACCACCACTGAGATTTTGGGATGTGTGTTGTGATCTTTGTGTGAGCAGAGCTCGTCTGCTAGCCTGTCCCGTTTGGCCCTTTGCTCCCCAATGATACCGCACACACTCCTCCTCCTCACCTCCTCATCGTCGCTCTCCTCCATCACGCTTCGTGAGAAATTTCTTCCCCCTGCGTCCCACTCCTCCGTGTCAGTCTTACTGCTCCTCTTCCTCCATTTCTTGCGCAGAACCAAAGGAGAAAGAGAAGAATGTGAGCGCGTGAGAGGAAGAGTCAGGCTCCCCTTCGGTCGCTCCTTCTTTTCCTGTTCCTTTGGTTTATCCTGTGCTCTCTCCCAAACCATCCGGTATCCGTGACATCGCCCTCGCGGGTCAAAGGTCGAGTTTGGTCTCTCTTTTTTCCATCTCTCTAGCTCTTTCTCAGTTTGTTTTTGCAGGTCCGCCAAGGACAGAGACACGGAACATACCTGAGGATGTAACAGTGGTTTTGAGTAAATAAGTCTGTCAGGACTTAAGGCCTGTTCACTCCAATACAAATGTTTGGAATGAAATTTTTGGTGTAGTCACGTTAGAGGTGTGCGATATATATCGTCTACGATAATATAGTAATTGTTGTTTAAATCATATGCGATAAGCCATTATCGAGTACATCGCAAAAACCAAACAATAACACACCAAGAGAGTGCACGCACACTATGAGATGTAGGATAGACTACTGCGCAACCACGTTTAGAGTTCATGCTTTCACTGCCTGATTTAGACTATTATTTAGAATTACCCAAAATTCAAGATAAGGGGGCATATATGCCCCCGTATGACTTTTACATGTCTTTTATATTTACCGTATTGACCCGAATATAAGACGATGTTTTTTTCTTGGAAATACATCTGAAAAAACGCGGTCGTCTTATATTCGGGCCAATACGGTATATAATATGATATAGTTAAGGGGTTAGTTCACCCAGAAATGAAAACTAGCCCATGCTTTACTCACCCTCAAAGCATCCTGGGTGTATATGACTTTCTTCTTTCAGACGAATCCAATCGGCATTATAGTAAAAATGCCCTGGCTCTTCCAAGCTTCATAATGGCAGTGAATGGGTGTTGAGATTTTGAAGCATGAAAAAGTGCGTCCATCCATGATAAAAAAAGTACTACACATGGCTCCGGGGGGTTAATAAAGGCCTTCTAAAGCGAAAATATCCATATTTAAAACTTTATAAACTTTAATCTCTAGCTTCTGCTAACTGTCGTACAAGTGTTCACGAGAGAGTGGCATTCCAGCAGAAGATGTAAGGGATTCACTTCAGAAGGCCTTTATTAACCCCCCGGAGCCGTGTGTAGCACTTTTTATGATGGATGGACGCACTTTTTCATGCTTCAAAATCTCGACCCCCATTCACTGCCATTATAAAGCTTGGAAGAGCCAGGATATTCTTTAATATAACTCCGATTGTATTCGTCTGAAAGAAGAAAGTCATATACACCTAAGATGGTTTGAGGGTGAGTAAATCAAGGGATAATTTTCATTTTTGGTGAACTATCCCTGTAATGCGTAAAAACAGCAGACGGTCTAAATGTAAATGCATATTCACTCTCTGACAGTAGGTGGCAGTTTTAGAAAAACAGAAGTACACTGGTCACCACGGTTCACAGGACAATAAAGAAGTCAAACAGTGTTTAAATGTTTTCAAATATTCAGTTTTCAGATTTTTGTATTCACTATGGTGTTTACCAAACAACACCAAATACATGAGTACAGAGACGAGAGCCGGTGTTGTAAGAAGTCAGGTCTCAATCAACTAATAGTTAAACTAAGTACACACGAACAGCATTAATTTAAAATATGTATATAAATTCTTACTATGTAGTGCATGATAAAATAAACTGGACAAAAAATTTAACTTGATAAACAACAATAAATAATTTAATAAATAATTGAACATAACTGAAATATTTACACATTGAACACGTAATTAAAGATTGTTGTGCATATTGTCATTATTGTGTAAAGCAGATGAGTGTAGTATAGGCTAAGCTATCAGGCTAACCGGGTATCTGCATGCAATGCTAGTACATAAGCTAACTAAAACAGATATTGATGGTCGTCATAACGTAGTTATCATAATGTGATTTTGTTTCCATTAAACGTTCTTTGAGTCTAAGCGAACACTTGGGGTCTTAATGGAGACACGATTTCAAGGGAGAAACCAATTCTCACAACACCAGTTCTTATTGGTTGGCCAGTTTTATTTGCAGTGCCATGGAAAAGAGATTAGTAAAAATCTGTAGCATCGATGGCATGCGAATGTATGTGACATTCAAATTCAAAAATCGCACCAAATTCCGCACAGAAGATTCATTATGGTGTGAACAGGCCTTTATTCAGATGAGCTGAGATAATCAGTAATATTACCTCATGGATAAAAGCATCAGCCTGCTCATGTTGGACACGCTGTTTAACACCTCGCAGTCTCTCCAGCGTTTCCATCTGTCCGTCACACTCCTTTCGCAGCCGCCCTTCTCCCAGACAACGGCGCACCAGCACCACAGCGACCTGAAACAAAACCCGCACACCTGCAACACACAAGCTGTGGTCAATGCATGGACTTCAACAACAGCTCAACACGGCAAGAGGTGTAATAAAGGCGCACTATCTATCTACAGTATCTCACAGAAGTGAGTACACCCTCACATTTTTGTAAATATTGACAAGATTTTTGCTCCGATTCTCGGGAGGGGGAAATCGGGGCTAAATCGGGCTAAAAATCCTGTAGTGTGAGCCAGGCTTTAGGGGTGTACTCACTTTTGTGGCCAGTGGTTTAGACATTAATGGCTGTGTGTTGAGTTATTTTGAGGGGACAGCAAATTTACACTGACAAACAAGCTGTACACTCACTACTTTACATTGTAGCAAAGTGTCATTTCTTCAGTGTTGTCACATGAAAAGATATAATAAAATATTTATAAAAATGTGAGGGGTGTACTCACTTCTGTGAGATACTGTATCTATCTATCTATCTATCCCTATCTCTTTTAATGAATTAATACTTTTATTCAGCTAGGATGCATTAAATTAATTAAAAATGACAGTAAAGACACATTCATCGAGCAGGAGTACCGGAAGTAAAAATCCTCTCCATTTTCTCCATGAAAATGGTTGGCTGGTTTGATTCATGTCATAACACTTTAACAAAGACTTTTTTGAAAGGGAAAATACTTCTTTTACTTCATTTTTTTGTTGCAGAATAAAGTGTATAAATAGGAAAAAATATAGCAACAATGGCATCTGGTATCTAACATTTTTTGCATGATTCACCATCCAAGCCAATAGGTGTCAGTATAACGTCTAAGATAAAAGTCAAACCAACAATTACTAAGTGCACCTTTAAATCATGCACATATATAGTTGAAAACAAACCATAGCAGAAAAAGAGATCCCAGACTCTGAGCAGAGTGTCGAAGGGCAGGTGACGGCTGTACAAACACATCAGCCAATCAGTGGCAAACATCAGAGGCTCCACCCCCTGATTCTGTAGGTGTTTGTGTGCGGCTGGACACAGTTTTTTAAAAATGCTTGAGAGAAAAGCAGCATCGAATAAAACACCTTCCTGAAGAAAAAGAAAAACAAAAGCCTATTTATAACTTTTAACACACATTTAACCGTTGGTTTTATGGTTACTGTAAAGATGCCCTACCAGCAGAGGGCTGTAGTATCCAGGGAGGTAGAGATCACTAATCTGCACCAGACACCAGAACGCCTCCTAAAACAAAGCAAACAATTAGGCCATGTTAAGCATCAAGCTTGCAAGCAAACAAACTAATTCTACAGTAGCCTACACATACAATTTCTGGGATAATAGCTGGACACCACTCATGGAATTAAACACTGAAGGGACCATCTGAGGTTTATCCCTTCCTAAAAATATAATTAAAAACCACGCTGTGTATTGTAAATAATATAATTTATAATATAATAGGCTGTCAAGGCTATTTTATTCACTTTAAACATCGGATGAAGTGATTCTTTTCTCTTTAATAGAGATAATGCTGAGTCATTAATTAATTAGTCATAATAAAAAAAAGTGATGATAAACCAATGTATTTTTCCATCAGTCCATTATGTTTATGATTATAACATTACCTACTTTGTTTGGTAGCTTGTTTAATACTGGGAACTGATATTAGGCTATTGTAGATCTACCGTTGTGTTGGGTTTTGCTCAATATGATGTTAAGTGGCAGATCTTGCTGCAGTTGAATATCTGAGACGTCCTCAGTCAAATTTATTGGTTTATAATGTTGGCCAGATAAAATGACAGAGAAAAAAACAGACATATGAAATTTACGCACATAGGTGAACTATCCCTTTAGAAAATAGTGATAATGTGGCAGTAAATGGTAGTACATTACTGTTTGAAATTGTTTATCACTGCATAATTTGTTCCACATGCTATTATTATTATTATTTTTAAAAAGCAAGTAAAAAATTCAAGTATGAGGTTCAGTAACATTTTTAAAAATAAATGAATTCTTTTACTCACCAAGGATGCATTAAATTGATCAAAAGAGAGAGTAAAGATGTTTAGAATTACAAAAAGATTTCTACTTCACGGTACATAAATGCTGTTTTTTAAAGTTTTATTCATCAAAGAATCCTATAAAAAAAAAAGAATAACTGTTTCCACAAAAATATAAAGCAGCACTGTTTTCAACATTGATAATAATAAATGTTAATAATAAATAAGCAGCAAATCAGCATATTAGAATGATTTCTGAAGGATCATGTGACACTGAAGACTGCAGTAATGATGCTGAAAATTCAGCTTTGATCACAGGAATAAATTACATTTGAAAATAAATTAAAATAGAAAACAGCTATTTAAAATTGTAAAAAATATTAAAGATTATTACTGTTTTATTGTGCTTTTGATCAGATAAATGCAGCCTTGGTGAGCATAAGAGATTTCTAAAAACATAAAAAATCTTACTAGCTGGTAGTGTACATTATAAATGCATCAAATGTTGCATATTATTTGGTTATTTATTCTGTTATAACTCTGTGTCGTTTACTGTATAGCCAGGTAAATAATCATGACAGAAGCAATACCTCAGCAGGCATGTTCATCAGAAGGACAGCAGCCACTGGACCCTGCGCCTGACAGTAGCCCTCGTCTGGACGATACTGAGTGTACGCTTTCAGGACCTCCAGCAAGTCCTTCTGACTGCTCATACAGACACCACACAGAAGCAGACACCAATGAGAAAGGAAGCTTTATGACTAATGCTATAGAGCACATTGCAAGGGAAGGGAAAGGCAGTACAGTACCCATGGCCGTCTTTGGACTGGAACATCTCATGGAAGGGAAACTGTCTGTCTGTGTCTCTTTTGATGATATCGGTCCATCCCTGATGATCTGGAGCTTTAACTAGACGCTAGACGAGTCGCAGAGGAAACACAGGGCTTATATAAGAGTATAAACAATATGATACAAATATGACCAGTCACTTACTTCGTAGAGTTTGTCATTTTTTTCTTTTCTATCCTTAGCTCCACAGAGCAATGGCCAGCCCTTTGCCCTGACAGATGCTGGAATGCCCTTCTGACACTGACCTTTGACCTGAGACAAAGGAAGTGAGCTGAGCCATGCAGTCGGCTATTGTAAGACTCGTTAGCAAAAAAGTAAAAAATATTGAATAAAACATTTCTTTTTTTAGTAATCACCTATAATAGCTTTAAATATAATGATCTCAAATCTTTTTTTAATGCTTGGTCAAGGTACATACAGAGGAATTTGGCATTCATTTGCAGCCTGCAGTATTTGACATGCAACATCCTGTATCATATGTAGGCCGACTGACAATGACACATGATAATCATCAGATGAATCAATGCTCAAAGAATCAACCGAGATCATAAATGATCAGCTGAATACATTTATTTTCAAAACTAGTTTGATGGTTTGGTATGTCACCACATCTAATTCAACCAGGAGACTATTTTTCTTCTGAAAAGCTTGTGAAATGACTGGGCAACTGACACATCCCTAATTCAATAACTGATTATTGATTTATCAATTTCTAGTTCCATAAATAGGCCTCTACAGTTTACAGCTGTTCAACTTAGAAATAATCCGAATGTTATTATTCTTTCTCTTCTCTGTCCCTTGTGAAAAAGAACTGTTTAATTCTATAGAATGTGCAGTTACAGTGTACTTCTACTACTATTTTAAAAAACCTACTAGCAGATATATTATATAATATTAATGAAATAAAAGGGCACTTACGTGTACTTGAAAAAACTAAACTTTCATGATAGTTTCTTAACTAAAATTTTATTTAAACTTAATGTTTTACTTTAAAGTACATTATAAATAATGTTTGTCATGCTTGACAGAAGTAGCCTACATTTATCTTGATATTACTGATGTTTTGACAAACATAGCACACATGTAAAGCACTTGATTACAATTTTAACTGCATAGGTTTTTGATAATACATTTAATGTACTGAAATGCAACTTCTTCTTTATAAATTTGTTATTACAAATACATTTAAATTACATGACTCACGGGTTTCAATAAAAATTAGATTAAAGTATATTTTAGTTTTACCATAAATGTTTTTCAGTACATTTTGAAATTAGATATAAATATGTACTTAAGCCCTACTTAAGTGGGTCTAAAAAGCACTGTAAAGTTCAGCTACTTGCATTTAATATACATTTTAAACTTTAATACATTTTCATTTAATTTCACTTAACATGCGATTAAGTGTTGAAAACATTACATTCAGTTCGCATAAAAGTATATTAGTAGTATTAGTAGTAGTTTTTTTTCGGTAACACTTTCTATGAAGCCCATATTTATAATACATTATAAGGGTATTCTTAAGGCATTATAATGAATGCATAATGCATTATAAAAACCCTTATAATATGTTATATCATCTTATGAATATTCATAAGAACAGTTTTAATGTTTTATAATATTTAATTATTTGTGGTTATAGCTTTTAAGTCAACATTCTACCAACCCTAACCTTAACCTAAGCCTACTAATACTCTAATGAGAGTTAGTTGACATGTAGTTGCAAAGTTGCTTATAGTCGATTGATTAAGGGGACCATCAAAATAAAATGTAACCTAACATATAAACATTGCTTTTTTTTTTCAGTTGAAATTATTAACTAGCTCACATCAAAATTAATATTAGCCTCACAGGGAACACTCAAATAACACTCCACACCTAACCACTTACAGGATTTAGTAAGATACTGTGCAGATCTTAAATAAACAATGTCAAGATATATAGTCCATTATAAATGTAAAAATAGATTTTATATGGTGTTCATTGTGTTATAAATAATCATAATCTTAACTTATAACCACAAATGTGTACGCATTATAATGTATTATAATTGTTGTTATGATTATTCATAAGATGATATAACATATTATAAGGTCTTTTATAATGCATTATGCATTCATTATAATGCCTTAAGAATACCCTTATAATGTGTTATAAATACGGGCTTCATAGAAAGTGTTACCTTTTTTTCTTTAAAGTATGCTAAAGCGTACTTGCTTTTCCACAAGAGCTTGGCACAAAATTTCTAATTTTATCATTGAACGACTAAAACAATGTGCACTTGATTTAACTTTTTTTTTTTTTGAGGAAAAGTAGTGCATGGCCATTGCAAATCTTGCCACCACAATGTTAAGAGTTAGCCTGACAATGCTTTTCCATGTGAATTATACATTCCAACTGATAAATATGAATTTGTTTTGTCTTTATATTTTCTATCATAGTGCTTAGATGCCAGATGACCTTTGACCTTTCTTATTATATACAATGTTACGCACAAGTATACAACAGCAAGACAGACACACCTTGTTGCTCTTTTTCTCCATCACTTGCTCCCATTGAGTCATGAGGCTGAGCCACTTAGACTCTCGATGTCTCACTAACTCAGGACATGGACCATCCCTGTCAACAACACACACAATCAGCAACACTACACTCACACAGTCCAGCAGCATACTTCACTGTCACCATCACAAATAACACACCTTTACCCTGCTTCCTCACTCACTCACTCTCACTAAAGCGCGTCCCCATACCAGAGCAAAGCATGAGTGTCACAAGAGGCAAACACACAGAAAACAGGAAACCACACTCTGACAGGCTAGAAATCACCATGGCAACATGACAGGATGTTGAGAAGGAGAAAATGAGAGTAAGAGGTGTGGAAGGTAACGGTAATTTATAATCATGAGTTATGAATTATCAATACTGGTAATACAGGATTAGAAGCGCCTTACAAAAATGATTTGACCACAGATTATATATTTAATCACACACACTGTGCTCAACTAGGGCTTACAGCATACAAATACAGTCACACACACTTAAATCAGGTTCCACCCAAACTCTGAGCCGTGATCAACAGACATCAGCACTGACCTGTCAGTTTCTCCATTCCCTAGAATGAAGCCAAAGCGGTTCGTCTCCACAACTGTGACCTCCGGCCCATGAGTCCCCTCCTCATCCTTGCTATCGTCTGGTTTAACAGACATCTATGCATGTGTGAGAGAGAAATGCATCCAGAAACATGAAGCCATGTTTGATAACGAATGGATTTCTATGTCAGTCTCATTCTGTTACAAAACAAGTGCCATTTTAAAAGCAAATTCAGTTGCATGACACAATATACATGGCACTGTATTATGTGCTGATGTTTAACCTGTAGCATGCATTGATTTGGAACTGAACTGTATTTATTAATGCACATTAAGCACGGAGTCATCATTAATACAGTAGAACAACAGAAAAACAGAGTCAATTGTGCGATAAAAGTCAATAAAGCAAAAGCTACCTTCACTCTTCTGCCAAACTCAAAGGTGCCGTTGTCCTCTGATGGGAGGGAAGACAACCAAGACAAAGACTTCCGCTGTAAAGTCAGCTAGTGTGTGGTTGTGCATGTGTGTGTGTGCGTTTGAATAACTGATGGTAGGAAGAAAGGGCCTCCTTTACTATGAAAATCAAATAGCCCAGTGATTTCTTGCGTTAACCGTCGTAAGGAACTGAAAGTGCAGTTTCACTAGTGCCCTGTGGTGATGACATACATCAGGTAGCGTCACATTAATCGAGAGACTACATTGAATATTTGTACTTTATTTGTCACACTGCAGGACTAGAGTGAAGGAGGATGAAGTGGGAAACTCTCTGAGAATTTGTCATTGGCCGTGTTTTAAATTATATTCCATATGGCTCATATCACAATATTATTTTAGAAATACCTGAGCTACACCATGCAGATCAAAAGGAAGTGTTTCATACAAAACTTCAAATGCTTCCTCATTGAAATGAGTGGATTTTGTCCATGAAAATTTGCTGAATGGTAGTAAATGTGACCGCATCTTTATTGTGGGACAGCTAGTTATTTTAAAAACAACATTCAATTGTAAATTAAATTATGTTGTAAGTAAAATAAAAAGTAAAAGTTGTTACTTACCTGTTATTACTTACCTGGTGAGTTTTTTTTAATTTAATACAACATTCAAGGTGATAAACTGCTAAAACGAGAGGCTTAACCTCTCTAGAACTGAAATAATGGTTAATATTTCCAGATTGTCACGTTTTCCTATTAAAGCAACACACACATCACAGTCTTTTTAATGTGGCTCACAGGTGTAATGTGTTTATGGAGGAATCACAGCAGTGGGAGTATCCTCTGATGCAGCTGTGACAGAATCCTCTTGGACCAGAGCAGCTTTAGCAGGAACCTCTGGGAGCAGGGAGGTTGAGAGAGGAGCTCTGGGACTGAAGCAGCCTTGAACACCAGCTCTGGCTGAAGCTACGACTGCAAACACTGGAACGGCCTTGACTGGAACTACTTTGCTGTTCTTTACCATCATGAGAGGAACCTTTGTAGTGGACAGGACGGGCGTCAGTGTGACCCGGTCAATCATGTCAGAAACCTCTTCTGGGGGTGCACCTTCAGGCCGGGACAAGAAGCTCTGGAAAGGTACCCTGTGGAGTGACCTCTGTGGTGCCTGTGACTCTGACCTCAGCAGGTTCTGGAGCAGCAGCGTTCACACTGATTTCTGAAGCGGCCCTGACAGGATCTGGATCCGGACCCCAAGACAGGAACCTCTGGGATGGCAGTGAGAGGAACTTGCGGAGCGGGCTTGACAGAGAGCTCTGGGACACTCTGGGTGACTCCATTATTAATAATATGATTGGATGGTGCAGTACTTAACAAACTTAACTAATTACAACTAAACTATGTACAACTCACATCCCTATTGGCGAGTAGTTCCGCAAGACGCTAAGGCTGGAGAGATGGAGAACTAACTTAACTAACTAAAACTAATCTAACTATTTACAATATGTACATATCCCTAGGCAAGTAGTTCTGCAAAACGCTAAAACTACCGCCTCAAGCCAAAGCACCAGACACAACCAAGGCCTGCCAGCCCCGCAAGACGCTAAAGCTGGAGAGATGGAGGGGACACCTGTCTCAGTCCTCCAGACGCAAGACTGACCCTCTTCACCACGACCTACAGGACCTGAAACACAATTAGAAATTATACAAATTACACAAACATACTTCATAAGGTATAAAAATACATCATGTGCAGTGTATATGGATTGATATAACAGTTGCAGAAGGTATTCTGATCAAATCAAATCAACAAAAAAACTAAAATAAATAAACAAACAAACAAATCATTTTAGCTTGTGTTAGACTTACCTTGAACCAGTCATGGGAGAGCATCTCCTCCAGATGAACCCTCTGCTCCGGGTCGCTCTTTAGGCAACCGGGAATAACACGGCAGCGTTCTGTGCAGACAAATGAGAGAAATTTCTGATTATTTCCTTCAACTTCACACACTTTCTAAACTATGAGAGATTCCTGCATTATCCATAAGGCCATTATTTATAAAGCTGCTGTTTTCTCTGTTTTGCATGATTAACATTAAGAATTGCAATTGTTCTTCTCTGTTGTAATGAAGTTCTTACCATCTGAGAGGCCGGGCTCAATCCAGACATCAGCGTCCATCAGTTTTATATTGCTGCTGTACGGATAACGGTTGGTCATCATGATAAACAGCAGCACACACAGCGACTACACCGTCGCCTGCATCCCGCAGTACTCACCCTTCTCAAAGTACTCAGGAGGACAGAAATTTGCTGTCCCTGGAGGAAAGAGTTTGTCACATGTCTAAGTTTGCTTTACCAGTTTTCAATGTTGTTAGTGCATTGTTAATATCCTGCTGTGTCTCGTTGGATTAAGACATGCTGTAACTGGTCACTAGAGTTAAAGTCCCAAACTACATGTTTGAGAGATAATACATGCCAATGAAGGTGATGTTGCCCGAGCTCTTCAGGAGGTCCCCAACACCGAAATCGATCAGTTTGACCTCCACGGTCTCTGTGTTGAACAGGAGGATGGACATCTTGATGTCCCGATGGAAGACCCCCGGGAACAGCAAACGACTGCAGCGTCAATCACCTGCCGCATGAAATGAAGCACCAGAGCCTCACTGAAGAGCTCTCCGTGATGTCCATGCAGGGCGAGGGCCGCTCTAAGACCATGATGTACTGGTAGGGATGCTCCTGCAGTCCAGCAGCTCTATGATGTGGCCACAGCGGGGGCCTTGATTGGCCTTGACTGTCAAAGCCACCTCTAGAGGAACTGGACTGGGATGGTCAGGCTAGAAGAACGATTGCTTTATGATGGTCAGATGGAAGCAGTTTCTCAAACAAGGATTTAGCTCAGTCTGTCTATTGAAATATCTGTACTCTGTGTTTTACATTAATCTAAGATCTTATAAACTGCAAACAGTGAATAAGAGACGACAGAGAGAGCACAGTGTACTTACGGCTCGTTTTCTGTCTTCGCTGTGAATTTCACAACCACCTGAAGGCCGTCCTCACAGCGGGTCCCTTCAAAGACAGAACCTCCTTCCCCAACTCCTCACCGATGACATACATCCAGCAAATGAGCTCTATTACAATATAATTATAGTTTTATTTTTATTTTATAGTTATATTATTATTTAATAAAGCAGTGTCCTGCAGTACGGCACGCCATACTTTTTCTAAAACTATTTTAACATTATTTCTAATTCTCATATAATTATTATAATTCTGCTTTTAATTCATTTTAATTGAGAAATACATTGATAAGTATATTTTTAAAACTAAGTTGTCGCACTTCAAGTCGATTGAAGTCAACTGCAAAAAAGCTAAATGGTGTAAAAATGTAAAAACTAAAGAATATTACCTCAGTTGCAGCTATATGATTTAAAACAAACGTTCCTTTAGAGGTTGTGTGTTATATTTTGGGTTATGACAGTAAACTCACCCTCGCTCCTCGTGATCTCGTCACAGTCCAGATGTCTCAGATGTGAAGGACTCATCTGCTGAAGGACTGACTGGACTGTCCTGATCTTGAGGCTGGACGTCC